CACTTTCTGCCTCACTACCATTTATAATAATCATTTTGTTTAGCACATGGCACGCCATTGACTACAGACGACGTGCGTAATATTCTGCAAACTAACGAAACTGTTAAACTACGTTAAGTTACTAAGCCATGATTGATATTATTTATAGGGTTAGGATAGGGTACATCGAGCCCGCTACAAGAAAAACGAAAGCACCAGGATCATTGATCATGGGTTTATAGCTAAAATAACATCTCTGATCAACTCAACAAAAGTCGTTTTATCCTAATTTTATTCATGGAATCGTGTTAGATAATTGTTTAAGTCGTTACAGTTAGCCATGTTTTCATTCATAGAATTAGTGCCTAAATATAAATAAACCAGTAGAGCAGCTAATGTAAATGCCGTGCACTTGTTACTGCATGCGCTGGTCGTACCTGTTGTTTGTGCAGAGTATGAATTTAATGAAACCTTGGAGTGGCACACAAGGGGTTGCTGCAAACGAGTCTGGATGCAGGACTGGTTGGCAGGTAACACTAGCGCTAAATATAAACTCTTAACGAGTTTCTACGGATAAAAAGGTGAGTAGCTTCACATTATCGCACATCAGATTAGTGGTTGTGAGCAATGGGTAACCTATTAGGATACTTTATGGCCTTTCAAGTAAACTTAATAGGGACGCGCCATAATACAGCTCTTTACTGTGCATTGTGCTCCGTCCAATTGAAAAGAAATAAATAAAAGAGCAGTTGTGAAATAAATATTTTAAAGATTAAGCACGAATACAATAGATATCGATTAAGGCCACGTAAATTCTATTCATAATTTGATCAGATAACACTAATTCATAAACATATCTCTCAACAAACACACTGACACATCCGCCGAGTTATCGTCTAACAGTGAATTCCGTTTGGATACGGTATTTTTTGTCGAATAATTCTGACATTTGAAATAAATTGTTACGGAATCGGGTGTGAATAGTAACTAGTTATAAAACCGGCCTGCGTCGGCGTGCTATCTGGTGACCCGATTCGAGGCAGTGTGAACGGTGCGGCGCGGCCGGGTGTTGCACTGAAGACGCGGCAGCTCGCCGCTGCCAGCCAAGTGCAAGGCAAACCTCTCCACTACACGTAACACAGCATAACGACAACAAAATACCAACACGCGCGTCCCACAACACTCGTTTTGCTCGATTTTCTTGTATTGTTTATTAACATCTAGGTTGGCAAGATAGGCGGACTATTGAAATAAGATTCTGATTAAAATATTCCATGTATTGAATGCTAGCAAAAGGAAAGAAAACAATTTCGTTTCGATTCGATAAGATTATTTATATTTTTATAAGTTTACTACAAATTAGTTAATTCAACGTGGTGTGTGCGGTACGATAGGTATCTGAAATGTCTGGTTGCATCATTATTTCCAGCGCTTCCAAATAAAATTACATAAAAGTAAGTCACGTCGTCAGATGCAATTACGCGACTAAAGTTTAGTGAACATGTAAAAAGAAGATGGTGACAGTAAGTGCAGGATACGCGGCGGCGCGGCGGCGGGTGCACGCCTCGGAGATGTTCCGATAGCGACCGTGTAACCATTACGAGTTGCCATTAAACATATTTACTTGACTCGACCTTTTCTGTACCAATCCACATATCTTAAGTAAGTTATCTATGCGATACAGTGAACATAAACGATACTATGCTTTCCCTCAGCAAAACTTAAAATCTTTTAAAATTGTGTGTTTATACATATTACGCTTGCATTGTTGTCACGTATTCACATTATGTATTTCTAGCTTAGCGTATCTTGTTTGTCTGTTACGATTTATACATAATACGAGAACAAAAGAAACTTTAAAGTTCGACGACCCAAAAGTTTTCGTCTGTGCGAATTTAATATTCGCACAGACGAAAAATATTTTCCTACACTGATTGCCCAAATTAAAACCATTATGTTTTTACACAACTAGGTACCTAATATTAAAATTGCGAAGACAAGAAAAGCAATTTCCGCTGACTTAACTAAGAAGCCAATCAAGATTCATATCTAAGAATTCATAGAATGTGCAGTTAAAGACGATGGTCTGGCATAGGTGGGATTTGCAGACAAATTAATGATCTAATTCTAAATAAAATAAAACTAAAAGAACGAATAGGTTACACGTACATGTGTATATACCTATTTGGCATAGATTTTACGTTGATATTACTTCTTATCTTACAAATATTATAAATGCGAAAGTTACGATGTTTGGATGTTTGTTACCCAATCACGCCAAAACGGCTGGACCGATTTGGATGAATCTGGCACAGGCATAGGATACACACTGGAATAGGACATAGGCTACTTTTTATCAACATACCACGCGGGCGAGGCCGCGAGCGAAAGCTAGTAAGTTTATAAATCTACGCAAGTTATGAAAATTCTTCCTTAGATGATGATGATGCTTGTCTTTATTATTTATTATTATGATTAAAGCCTCTCTGTACATCATATTTATGCACTATTTCTAGTCTAAACCTAGCACGTATTGAGTGCGTGACTGTACGCACTGCCAATTCATTTCGCATTGCATCCGCCCGCAACCCGCGCCGGGGCGGCGGCACTTTCTTCGTAATGGCGTCTTGACGCAGGATCGCGGTGCACGTACTTAATTTGCGTTCATCGTTCCACTCGTTTGAAAGAAATCTATTAAATAAATTTGAAAATCACTAATAAGAAATATAAAAAAACGATGCTGTAATAGGACAGCGTAAAAAATCACTATTGCCTGTTGGGGGAATTGCAAGTGAATCGATTTCAGAGCTTTCAATTTAGACTTGGAATTGCCCTGAGTAGCAGCTTTCAAGTAATTTACTCTTTATAATAGATAAATTATGTATTGTGCTAGTAATTAATCATACTTACGACGATTTTATCAATTTAACAGTTGTTGTAAATTATGGTTACCATTCAATTATCTTGCCATTGCTGGACTATAGACTTATAAAGTAAGTAATTATAAGATTGTATCTCAAGATCATCATATACCAAGTTAACAGAACAAAAAGCTATTATGATATAACTGGATAGCCACCGATTAGCATGGCTAGCGCCATATCGATACGCACGCGCGCCCTTCACTGGAACACATTACCGTACAATAGACTTTTTGTTAAAATATTCCGTTTGTACAGTAAAAACAAAGTCAATTTATCTTGATACGTCACTGCCATAAAATTGGAACAGATTTTCCCGTTTTTTCAGGCCCATTGAGTAGAAACAGATCAATCTAACCTTATTAAGAGTTGGATGCATCTTTCTGATCTAGACTAGTCATTTTATTAGATAGCGGTATTTATAGCAGCATCACATTAAGATCAATTCTAATAATGGAGAAAGCCGCGTAGACCGTTAATGACAAAATGTTCATTTGAAACAAGTTTTTTTTTTTATTTTTATATTGAATAGCAGGTTCTTAAGACAGGTTGAAAAGTGAGTTAGTTGACACACAAATACATAATTTGTTTACTGTGGGCACCGTTGTGTGACTCCCGTGGTGACCTGACCCCTGGTTCAACGATCAGTCGACATTCGGACAATGGACGAGATTCCCATGGCCGGCCTATGGCTAACGCTACCAACATATTTTTTTCTCATTAACCCAGCAAAACCACATCCTAAACCAGCTATGGAACGCCTTTAACTGTATTTTACCGAAGCTAATACGTTTATGAATTGTTTGACTGTGTTTTATGTTAGTTAATAAAAAACCGCAAATATAACATCATTTCACTATAGTTACCGTTATCTCTAGTACATTTATTCAAAACACAAACACTACAGTTTACTAAACTTCCTAAACAACAAGCCTTAATCACAGTTATTAACAAAATCAACTTGTTATCATCAGTAACCGCGGGTTACTGGAAGCAAATCCTTTATTTGATAATCCGCTTGAATAATCAAAGCTCATGGTTAAATTACGTCGTAATTGTAGTAAACAACTCTAGACCTGCAGGTAGAGCGCGTGGCGGTCGCACGTGGCTACACAATACTGAATAAAATTCTTATTAGGGTGTATTGGCTATCGGCAAAGGCGTCAAAGGTAATTAAGCGAACACACGGAAGGCCAAACAATATTGTTCATTAGCCACATCGGCTAAAAGCTTCGAGGCTTCCTGGGTTTTTCTGCGCAGGAGCAGAGATGCGCGGTCTCGCGTGCTGGCCCGCTGCGCTCGTGCGCACACGCATCTCTTACATCATAACATGTAAATAATTCATGGAATAGCGTTCGATTCGGTTAGTGAGCCTCATCTAGTGCCTAACGGTATTGAAAAAATTTATAAGATCATGGAGTTCGTGGTTTTATTTGTACTGTAGCAAACATAGAAAAATTAAAAAAAATATAATTTTAAATGTCTTGTAAATATAATAAACGCACGGATTATTCAACATGTACTATCAAATTATTTTCTAAGTTAAAATTTAATTATAGTCGGTAATTATTATGTAATCATACTTATGAACTAATAAGGAAACACCTTTTTTTATCACATAACAGGTAACTCAATTGGCATAATATTGAATCGCAATTACCTTCTAATGAAGTAAGGAATCATCTTAACTTGTAAAAAATACGATATATCACGATACTAGCGATGAAAAAAACAAATTTAAAATTTGATGTATTATGCCTGCATTAATTTATTTATAGCACAAAACACAGTGGTCTGCCATTTATGCTGAACTGGACCTGTTTGGCGCAGCCGTGAGGCACACGGTTATGTAGTTTTCTTTATTTTTTCTTTTATATTAAATAACCTTTTTGTTACTATGTCTGTGTGCACATGGTTTGTGTCAATAAACTTTTTTCTTTCTTTCTTTCTTTCTTTCAATATCATCAGTAAGTATTGTGTTATTACACATGTAAATATTGAAAATGGTGTGTTTCCCCACCTTTTGACTACCGCCTTCTCACAATGCAGATTAAATACTCATTTGTTTGATTTTTTTTGGATGCAGGATACGTCTCGGGGCTAGATTGCCTCGTTAACTTCGCTAAGAGCGTCATTAATTTTTGGTACTTTGGGCGCACCGTTAGTGACGGGCGACACTCCGACACTCCGACACTCCGTGGTCACAATAATCACCAAACGATCACCATGCCACACCAAGTGATCTAGCTCAGTAGAGCATGAGATAGCTTATGTTTTTTACTTATTTCAGTAATCGATTTAGTATCGATTGTGGTTTTCGAACGAATTCTTATCGAAATACGATGTAAATAAGATATAAATTGTCACGTCTGACATTTGAGTTTAAATAGAAAGCGGATTAAGGTTAATCGTAAGTGGATTGTGAATGAGGGAAATCCTAATGATTCATTTTTAGTAACATCTGCATGATCTCCATCTCAAGGAAATTTTTGACCAGAAATACTCTTAGTTTTTTTGGACTAAAATTTTACCTTGACACGACGAATTTAGTTTTATTTTATTCAATCAATCCAAACCAACAAAAATAAGTAGAACCTCGGGTTTCATTCTGAGGCGGTCCCGGAAACAGTGCCGTTACAATTGGTTTAGACGAAGGGACTCGATAATAGGTTCCCTACGAGGAAATGTTTAGTGGAGTGGAACAAAAATATTCAAATTGAATTTACAAAGAAGGACTCTTCAAAACTAACTTCACGTGCAAAAAAAAACTAAGTAAGTACTACTTACAAGTCGATCGAAACATAGTTTGGAAAAGGGATCCTAATTTCTTGTTTTCCTTAGGTGATAATCTAATCTACAATAGGTACCATTAATGAGTGGTGGACGTCTTTGAATTTCTCTTCTTATAAATGTTTATAGTATATTTAGCAACTTCTCACTAACCCATGACCCTACCGGCGGCGGAGAATATTAAAATTACTTATTAGGCAAATGTTCCCAAAACCCTTCGTACACGGAAGTAGAAGAATTCGATGCGCATGCGATCAATAGATTCGAATGTAACGGTGGCAGTGCAGTGACGGTGAACGACACCGTGCGATCGGCGCGGGCGCAGCCTCCGATAACGCAACAATTATCGGCTCGATATCGATAGATCTCATGTCGAAATGATGCGCCGTTAAATATACTGTAATATCGGAGTATGGGAATCGAGATATTTGAAACGGTTCGGCCCTTGAGTTTTAATATTTTCAATAGCACTTTGAATTGGCATACCTTTCTATATGAATAAAATGGGAGTCCAAATTTACTTCTGCCTACTATCATGAAAAAAATCTTTTTGTTATGACTGGTTATCAAAAACTAATTTTGAATAATAGCATAAAGTTTCAGCTTTTTTATAAATGACGTTTGCTAATCCCATTATTGAATTGTTCTCAAAACAAGTAAACTTATAAGTAGTGAGCTTGTATTACACTACTTATTTGTAAGACAATTTGTCTCAGGAACAAGCTTCCGACATTTTTATATACGTCACACGATTCACTGGTTAAGAGTCTTTACGCACAAAGACAAATAAACTAATTAATTCCACCAAAACAATAAATCATACATTCCATTATAATCTTTGTTACCAAGGCCGTAGTGACGAGATTAGAACTTAATGCGAGAGTCAACTTGAATGAGTATTACCAGTACATTACAAGTAGCGTGTCATTGTGGTAGTACATTTAAGTACGACTGTAATTAAGATAAATTACACGTATTTTGATCTATGCGACCTTCTCGTCTATCTTGAGGAAACACTGCATTAGGTTAAATAAAAAAACAACGTTTACCTAGACACTGAAAATTACATTTAATTTTGCTTTTTTATGCCAAAAATCACAAATTAACCGCATATTTTCTGGGTTTCTTGATAAATAAAATGTACAAATAATTTCTTAAATTTGTTTTACTTGAAAGCTACCCGACATTTATTCTCAAAATATGTAGTGTGGGAAAAATCTTAGATATCTGTTTTTTTACTTATTTTGTAAGGCATACCAAAATCCACGAGCGGTCGCTTTATTCCACCTTAATATCATTGTCGTGTACCGTTGTCTGGCCACCGCGTAACGGGACACTGGGCCCTAAGCATTGAATAACGCTCCGATTATTCTGATCATCTCGAATTCAAGGGGCTTCTGAGCAACCGGTTAACTTAGGAAGTAATTCAATTTCGTTAGTATTGATTCGACAATTATAAGCATGAATGAATTAATATTGTATCTTGGCACGATTTCAGTTTGATGTAATTAAATATTCAAATCTGTGATTGATTTGATAACTTAATTGTTTTGCGAGATCCTATCTAATTAGTAGTTTGATAGTAGTGAGATGCGTATTACAATACGGGTGAGTACATACCTGCGGGCGAAGTGTCGTGTGTCTTGAGTAATAGTCGTGTTGGTAGAAGCTAGTGGGCGACAGCGGCGGCCGATATTTCTTGTGGCCGTAGCCCATCGTGTCCATGGTGTGCATCTTGATTCACTACACTAGTCGTCACACCCACTGAGTCAGTTCCCGATCGATCGTCCGGTTCTCGGTAGATCAGATATTATCGTCACATATCGCTTGTTTCACTCTGTAACAACAAATTAATTGATATTAGTATTTTATGACAGAATGTATGTAGGACTTTCTTTGTGAGGTGAATTGTGGGATGGGTCGCGCAGCGACGCGAGCGCATGCCTTGCATTATAATACGGGGTGACGACGCTGTGTGCATAACTGATAAGTTAGGGCTAGAAAATGTGCCTATGTGAAACACATGGATGTCACAAATGCATATCGGAATATTGTTTCAAAACGCTTATATGTAAACAAATTATTATAATTACGTCTATGTTAATATGTACTTTGAACTCTCAGAAACGTCGAGTCCCACGACACCAATTTATTTAGACGTATTCAAATATGTTAACGGAACCAGCCCCAAAGTACTTACATCCGAAGTATAAACTACGAGAGCTTCGCTGCAGCGAATATTTACATAAAGTCTCACAGAAGTCAAGAGCGCGGTTCATCGCTGTTTGTGGTAGAAACGAATTTTAATCGGTCAAATACCTGCGACGGGAACTAGTTGTGGTGACGAGACATAACTGTAAAAATCGTAACGACGAATTTCATTAATTAAAACGTAACGATCGACCTCGACACTCGCATTCGAACTGCCAATAAATTCTACTCTATTAGCTTTGGATTTTTATATTTATAGTGGTTTATTTACTGTCGGAGCTTAATCATTTGCTAATTTAATTTTGTTTATAAATATAGAGTTTACCTAATGATCGATTGCCCACATCGCAATGCTACTGTTCCAGTACTATAACATTTTTAGTTAGCCTTAGTAGTTTGGTGATGTAAGTAGGCTAACAATTTATTATTAAAAGAATGTACCAAGTATCAGAAATATAACTGCCCAAAAAAAGACAAAAGTTTTTGATCCTTAAAAAAGAACACAGAAACTTTTTCCTCGTAAATATTTGTAACCTTCATCAAATCTGCCCCGATCGAACAAATCCGCTGTTCAAGGAAACTTATTAATATTTATTTCTTATTGTTCTACGTTCCCTGAGAGTCAGTTCTATACCGAACTTGTGTTATTAAGTGTGTGTCACAAATTGCTCAGTAAGTAGCATAAAGTTGTGACAGTTCTCACGCGGACCACGCGGCGATGCCAAATGTTTGTTTTTGTCAAAGTTTTTATTTTATTGATTGAGTAGTACTCGCCTACTCGGCCTTAGCTCAGGGCCAGCCGTTGCACTGACTACTCAATTGTTGTACAATACTACGGATCAATGGATATTATACAATATTGTTTTTCCTTCAACGTTTTATCATAATAACTCATGGCTCTATTCACTGAGTCCGCGGAACAAAAACTGGTTGCGATGTTAAAATTAATTGTTGATTTATATCAGGAAGCTTTAGTCATCGGCTTCACGTGTGTTCTGAAGCTTATCTGATTCAAGATTAATGTACGAAAAAAGCTATATATATGTTGTTTTTATAGTAACTATATGAGCAGGAATCTGAGTTTATTTGCAGGAATTACCACTTGTTACGAGCTGCATTGTGCGATGCAGCATTAATAGACGTAAGTTTTTCGCTTAAGCCTTTTAGCTGAACATCACATACCTAAGTAATCAACAGAATCACGATAGCATCACGATGTACTTGTATCTTGCGTTACACTTATCTCACACCTGATCATGCATCTAAGTATAATGCCCTTAAATATTCCACTGCACGTCGGTTCTACACTTACACATCGTTAACACGTATAGGTTGCTCAAGCCGGGGCCTTGTCCTGCATGGTCGTGCGGAGCTGACTCATGGCGCAGCATGGCCACCGTGGGAACCGCTTATCAGTGTGCTCTTGTGCGAATCATAGTCCAAGTAATTATGAACTGGTTATACAGCATTACAGTCCAGTGCTATCTACCAAGCCTTTTTATTGTTCGAGGGCTTTGAGATGTTCTAGGATACAATTGTACCCTTGTTCAATGGATACTACTAGATAAGGAATGCCTCCAGCGATTTACAGATTTGTATTTAAGTGTAATAAATCTTTTCATAAAATAAATGAATCATAATAGTCTAAAACTACCGTTTGTTTCATTGATAAATTTATTTCAAACAAGTAATATCTTGGATATATTAAAATAAAGCTTAAGTATTCGTCGGCGTGGTGTTGGTAAACAAAATGCAAGTTCAATGTATCCAGGTGCAGAGCGGCCTCGGCGCGGTCCAATGTCAATGTCACCTTTCCATTGAGTCGACACCGACAGCGCTGCGCCCGCGCCGCCGTCGCTCGTTGTATCTCTGACCCACGAATGCCACTCAACGGAAATGTCCAATGCTAATCTTATATTCAAATATCGTTAATCCTTTTAATGTTATTAATTATTTAAGATTTTATTATTTGTATTTAGTGATAAATATTTGTATATTTTTACAGAAAAGGTAAGATGGACTTTGCGATCGAAAAAATTGTTCAACTCTAAAATGTAGCTGTATCACATTTACAAACACAGCTGCACTTTACTCGTTTAGAACCGGTTAAAATTCCAACAGCTTAGAAACTTGTTCGCAATAAATTTTCTTAGTATTGTAATTTGGCTGATTATATACTTTCTTTAAGAATATATGTCAACATTTGACTACACGTATAAAATGTGGGTAATGTAACGCGAATCGAGTTGGAATTCGGACGAGAACGGTACATGCGCGCAAAACCGTCGGATTACACGACACTCGTGCTATACATTATACAACAGGGCTTAACATGTTGTTTTACATTACATACGTTAGTGGTATTTGAAAGGAATCCACGCTTCCAGTTAAGCAAGCATTGGAATATGTATTTTTTAATCAGCTCTTTTCTTAGTATGTTTCGTACCTGTGGGTAGCGTGTCATATCGATTTTTGTTTAATCTTAATGATTAAATTTATGGTAAAGTTATATCTCAAGTTTTAAATTATGATGAATTTAAAAATAATCTAATGTAATTGTGTAGGGTATTGCGAAAAATTTGTTAATATGCTACGCTGCTACGACATTTCGTAGCATCGTAGCAACTAATTGAATTTGTAAATTAGTTGAATTATCGAATTTTTATATAGCATTTTTACATTATTTATAAAATACATAAGAGTCAAGTAAAATTATGAAATGTCAAACTGTAGTCTATATAAGACAGATATACCCAAAATTAACGAAGGCAACATTTAATAAAATAATCTTATATGTATGACTCGTTAGCACAATTACCAGACTGTCAGAGAGACGAAGGGGTAACAAAGAGCGGACAGGTCCATCCTCTACTCTATCGCGACAACAAAGAGCATTGGAACCATGACACCGTGAAACAGACAGTTTTAAACGCAGGCTAATTGTGCCCACCTTTGATGACCTGCTGCTTTATACCAGGCGTTCATAACGCATTGCAACTCACTGGCACAAAATATCTGTTACTTTATTATAATTATATTACGTTACTATATTACAGTATATCTTACTGGATTCAAGACTAAAGAAATTGCAAACAATTTATCACTAATACCGACTATACTACATTCAATGATTTTGAGTTAAAGATAAATTAATACAAACTAAAACCGTAATTTGGTTTGTAAGAGTCAATTAATCGTAAGACAATTGTTAAATCAATTAGTTTCATATTACAAAAGCTATGTACGTTATAAATAAATAAGTTGAATGACAAAACAGGGCCCGATTTCCAAGAACCTTTTACAGTACAAAATTAATTTATAAATACCAGTAAAAGTAATCATTTGAAGACCGTTAAATAAAAAACTTTTAAGACTTTATAAAGCCTACAAATATTTCTAATGAAAATAACGATGATTAATTTAAATTGCGACTTTATAGTTTCAAAAATCACAATTTCTTAATAGCTCTTTTTTTCTCGCAAAGCTATGCGTAATAGTTTATTCAACCCAAAGAAAAACTTCAAATACACCTTAGGGAGATGTTGTGTCTAGAATCTGAATGACTAGTTAATATTTACTGCAGTGCTATTTGATACAAAACTTTTATTTTTAAGAAGGAATCCCAAAATACTTAGTTTGTTTAAAATTGGATAAGAGTGATGTAGTTACTTTACATACTTTTTCATATTACAGTTTTAATTTTATTTAATTCAGAACCATACTGAATTACGTATCAGCAAGGCTATTTAACAAACAGTTTTAGTAACACATTTTCTCAGAAACCTTTGCTTACAATTCTGTATCGCCAACCCATTATCGTAATCAGAAGCATGCAAGCATTTCCTGATGATTACCAGAGTCGTGACGAGAACCAGTCGTCCTCATGTCAGGAGCATCCGTGACTCCGGCAGCCTAGCCTTGCTGACGTCATCACCGATTACGATTACATGCAGTTGCGTTATATTATCTAATAGCTGGCCACGAGCGTAACAATTAATTCTAACTATTCATCAATCTAATGTCTAAACATTTATAATAAAAAATACATAAAAAAACCAAGACGTCGGCTTTATAACAAATGTAATCGATAAAAAATATTAATGTACTTGTAAACATAACAATTTGAACACAATGATGTATATGTGTAATTTTTAAGAGTCAGTGGTAGGCGTATTTATTGTCATGTTCATCTGACATGCTTGTCCTGCAAATTTGTAGTAGGTACACGGTTGTTTACGAGTAAAAAAAACAAAACTTACACAAAACAAAATTACGAAATACTTACATACATTTGTGAGAACTGTGTTCTAGCTATCCCGGGAGACACGACCTAACTTTGACACTTAACATCAATTTCTAAACTACCCTTCTTGAAAGTCCTTGAAATATTTGAAGGGTAAATGTCCCAGTTATCATACTAGATATTTGAACCAACGGCCTTCTAGAGACAGCTGGTACTGTATGTAGGTCCCTGTAGCAATTACTTACCCTAACGGCTTGACTGACAAGAGATATGGATTCCT